ATTCCCTCTGTGTGCTCTTTGTTATCAGCAGGACTAGAGGCATTATGTACTGTACAATGAAAGATAACCATAGAGTGAGAGATAGCTGGCTTTGTAGCTCTATTGATTAAATAGGACAGCAGGCTAATCAGTAAAAATGTTACAGGGATGGGAGTCAAGCCACTTGGAAAATGTGAAAGATGAAGGCTACGCTTGAAATGTTAATTTTTTAATAAAATTGTAAGGCAGAAAACTGTTTCCTTAATTATTTATTAAAAGGAAAAAAAAAAAAACCCAACCAAAAAAAAAAAAACACACACACCAAAAAAAAACCTATGCACAGAGAGGTATCACTCCACAACCAATCTGCAAAGGTAATAGCACTACATTTATCTGAGACAGTTAGAAGACAAGACACAATACAGGTTTGAACCCTTCCTAAATAAAATTCACAGGTTTAGAGTTTTGCTATGAACCATGACTGACATGGGGATAACTCATCAAGCAAATGGGTATACCAACTACCTCGAGACTTTGAGAGGGGTTTTTGCATATAGGAATAATTAAAGACTACAGAAACCAGTCATATAAAAAAAAAAAACAAACAAAAAACCCTCTACAAACAACAAAAATCTTGAAGCAAAGAAAACAAGAAAAAAAAACCACTAAACAAACAAGGAAAAAACCCCAACTCTAAAACATCATTAAGGCTTTTGCGTTTTTTTTCAGACATTTGTTTATTGCTTTGCTCAGCTCCAAGCATTTAGACTAATATTTTTCACAGCATATATCTGTGTCAAGATGAATTTGCTTGTAGGTAACACATTTATATAATTTGTCTTCCAAGCTCTTGCTCAGGCTGGGGCTACAAAGGGACACATCCAGACCGGAATACGATGGATGTGCTAGGTGTATGGCCGCAGCACATAGCTGCAGAAATTCAGGACAACTCTGCAGGAGCAGCCTAGAATTATGAGGATACAGAGGTACTGTAAAGTCATTATTTTCCCTTCTGACTTTTGGCTTTGAGGTCTGTGCTGCATCTCCTAAAGGCACAACACAGACTCTCACCTGACGTGCTTAGCATTGGAGTGGAGGATTTCGCTGAAAAAAACCCTTTCCATGCTACTAATATCTCTGTTCTAATTTTATAAAATCGTCCATGTTCCTTTGGGGCTTCAGTCATAATCCTCTTTGGTGGGGTGTAATCTACTGTATCACTGATCCATCTCTCCCTGCTAGGAGCTTCCCCTGCTACCTGCTGTCTTGCAAGGTAGCAATTTACTGTCGACAATGATACAGCCAGTAGTTGGATATGATGACTCGATATAGCAATTTCAGCTCCTTCTTGCCAATATATGTTGCCAAGGATTCATATGAACGTCTCTCTAGACTTCATACTTGCCCCAAAAATATTGGGAAGGGAAAGGAGAGGGAAAAGGTCACAGAAGGCACAGCACTTGCATTTCTGCATTGGTGAACGTGTTAGTCCCAGCTCTCTGGGATGACACATTTTAGATGCTTATTGGAAGTTAAATACATTGCTTTACCCTGTCTTTATCCATTCCTATACAGAACGATGCCATTTAGAAGCAACTGATACAGCAATTCATACTACGCTTTTGGCAAATTGAACTAATAAACAGTAACAGCTTAACACAGTTTTAACAAATCTGCTCATTCCTCCACAGGCTCACTCCTCCACTCCTGCCTTTGCCAGGCTCCTGGAGCCTACAGCAGCCCCTTGGCAATACTCAGCATTTAGACTTCGAGTTGTCCTTGGTCTTAGAGGAACAAAAATACTCCCAGGCAGATTCCGGGTTTAACCTGAACTGGGAGGTGAGTCATGATAAAGTAAAGGTCACACAGACGGATCTGTAGTTGATCCTGCAGCCACTTAAATCAGTGCCTAAACCTTGTTCCTTTAAAGAGGAAACAGGAAGGTTTATTATGCAGTTGAATGTATAGTGAGAATGCCTTTTATGTTTCTTAACATAGAAGCAGCCCCAAGATCTTTGTCCAAAACACCTCTGTTAGAGCCAGTAATACTGGGAAGGTTTTAGATGACCCCTGGATCTTTCAGTAAATTATTTTATTACACATTTGCTTGATTTTCATGCATTTTAAAGTGAAAATATAAAATCCAGGGTTTTTTCTCCAGTCCCTATTTATTTAATATTTTATTTAATAGATTAATAATTTAATCTAATTAACAGATTAGCCACTTCATCTTCTTTTTCAGAACTCACTGATTCAAAGGTAATTTTTAAGTAATACAGATATGTATTAAAGAAGTCAGTTATACCAGTTGATTCATTGAGATACTAGTAATGCCTGTATTTAAATTACTGGGTGTTCAAACAGATTTGGTTCCATGAATATAAACCCCATGACATATTATTCCAGTATGCCTTAGTCCCGTTGACCAACCAGTGCCCACTGAATCTGTTCCCATGAACACAGGGCGTGTGGTGAAAGAAGCTTCACCTGTAGTAAGTACTCAGAGCTGCTAATCATTTTAGTCTAAATGAATACCTTCAACAAAAAACATCTTTACTCAAAGAGTCGGCGGTTTTCTTTACCATGTGCCCGTGTGTTGGTTTTCTCATTACGCATAACATCAGAATATCCTAAGGATGACAGACTGCATTATGCAATACTTTTCTCATATTAGTATCCCGTGTTTTGCTAGCTACAGATGTGTTGGTAGCTATTCAAAGCCCTTCCAGACTGTAAAATTAATAAAACAACCTTACAAAAAAGCCTTCTGTGTAGTTCATTTCATATTACTCCCTTTTCATCCCTATTCTAAAGTCCTGAACACTTGCTTCAGGCATAGGTATTTTCACTCATGGATCTACAAGGTTTTGCACCTATCACTGAGGCCTAAAGTCCCACCGTCAGGCAGAAAGCAAGTGACCAAACCGATATCAATTGGCCCATACCCAAATTTAATTAAACTTCTCCCTGCAACTCTAGAGGAAACCAATTTCCCTCATTATTGCTTATGTGGATAATATGTGAAATTAATTCTCCTTCACTAAGTTATCACTGCATTGAGCAGACAAACACAGATATAATGTTATTAAAAGTAATGAAATAGGTTCATCAGCAGTTAACGTTAATGTTTTGTGTCATTGGAATCTTGTGTGCAGTTTAGGACAGAATTATTCAGCTTTGCAGCTACAAGATGCAGAAGGCCAATAGCTCAAGGGTTTGCAAAGGTTTTGGCATAAGGCACTAGTTACACATGGCTTTCTGTAAATGAAAAAGGGAGGCGAAAAAATGGATTCACCTTGCTTTCCCTCTCATCTTCTACAGAACAGCAAAGAGAGGGACAGAGAAGGAAACAGGGCTTCCTCTCTGCAGGAGATGACGGACTCCTGCAGTAGCCCTGCAGGCCAGTAATACTGTACTGACATTGCCTTTGCTAGTAAGCAGTCACAGGTTTTCACTGAGATTGAAAAGTTTTAAGAGCAAGGTTTGTCAGTAGTGACTTGTCTGAGCCTTTCTTTAACAACCGCAACTCTTTTAACAAAGCATGTGTTACCTGTAAGAGCATTTGTCTAATAACCAGCACTAACAACTACTATCAAGTAGCTATGCTGTGGTGAATTAGGTATTTATGACTCTAATAAAGCAATGTACTGAAGAGAAGAAGCCTGGTACAACAGCAGGCGTCTTGAGAAGCGGGGACACAGGATGTGATATAGGGGGGTAGGCAGGGGATGGTAAGAGATGAGAAACTGGCTAGTACTGGAGATCCCAAGAAAGTAAATACCTCCCATCAGACTGTTAAAGAAATGCAGATATGGAGCTGAACAACATGAGTTATAGGAGTATCAAAGAACAGGATTGTAACATCCACAGAATACACCATAAGTTCAGATGCACTATCCAGCTACAGATCTAGACAAAGCAAGATATAAAACAGCACGTTACAAAACATATAAAACAGCCTCTAACTAAGCAAAAAAAAAAAAAAAAAAAAAAGAAAGGAAGGAAAGGAATGGAAGGAAGGAGCAAAAGCCTTTAATATCAAGACGGTGGTCATCCCAGAACAGGATTCGAGATGCTATTGGCTTGCACCCTGATGTACAAACCCCGGGGTGGTCAGCAGAAGAATTGTAGAAGGTAGGAAATAGCACTGGGAAAGAGGAAATAGCATGTGTTGTCACACGACAAGGACTACCTGGCAGCACCTGACGAAATGTCTAGACTGTATTTGAACGAATTTAACTCTAATGATTCTGGTACGGGGAGTGTAAAAATGAAGGATCACAGGTAATTATCAGAGCTGAACTGTTAAATCTAATGCTAAATCTAAATCCTTGTAACACGTTTGGTTGGGGCAGAGGCTAAAAAATTATAGCAAACAAGGTAAGGACCACTAATTTAGTCTTAGAGAGAAAGTCAAAGAGTTCGGCCTGCAGCTACATGATCAACAAAGCTATTCGCAGCTTATGGTATCTACTCTAGAAAGCAATAAACATTCAGAAGTAGTGCCATGGAGGGAACATATCCTCAAATGCCCAATGCTACGCAGAGACATGAACCCAAGGTGGCTCCCAGGAAGCCTGTGGAAGCCGGGCCACCAGTCACGGCTGGGAAACAGTCAGCAGATGCAGAGGGTGGCAGGCGTGCTCCAGACCACGCTGCAGGCTGAGACTAGACCAGACCGGCAGGAACTTTAGGTGTGCGAGTGTGTCTGCAAAGTGTGCGTACGGTTAAAATAGAGATCTTAGGGTAGAATCCAGAACCCGCTATGCCCATCCCACTCGGTAAATAAATTTTAGATTTTATAAAGTCAGCGAGCGGCGTGGTTGAAGCTTTAAGGCTGTTAAGGGAACTTCGCAGTCTGACCATTCACGAAACTCTCTGGCACTCACACCCACAAGGCCAAAGACTTGAACTACTGGAACTGAAGCCGCTCGCAGCGGGCAGCTCCCATGACCCACGGGTGTCCCACTTGACTCCCCGCACACCCCACACTCACACGCAGCCAGACCAGGTTTCCTTACCGGTTCGACCGCAGGTTTCCCGTAGCAGAGTCGCATACGTCTAGTTCCATAAACCAATTTATTCACGGCGCAGGGACATAAAAACAGGTCGAGCTGAGGATTCCGAAGAGGCCCGCAACAAAGGAACCCCTGGGCTTTTATCCGCTCCCAGTCCAAGGGCGCGCAAGTCTCGGCCTTCCGCCCTTGGTCGGAAGTTCTCCTCCCCTGCGAACAAGGTCGGAACTCCGCCGCCCTGGCTGTGTCTCCCAATGTCCATCCGCCCAGCTGGCGCCGCTGGTCTCCATGCCTTTTGTTATTCAAAAAGTTGGCAGTTCAGGGCTCCTGCTGTGTCTCTCAGTGTCCACTCACCTGGCTGGCATCGCCCGCCTTCGTGCCCTTTGTTAACCAAAGGCTTGGCAGTTCACAGCCTCTTCTCTCGGGCTCCCACCCAGAACTCAATCTGCATCTCAATCTGCAGCTTGCAAACCGAGCTACCCGCACCAAATGTATTCCTCAACAAGGCCACGTTCCTTTCTCGATGACACTGTGTATAGCAATTTTAGCTGTTACTATTGAGGCTTTCCCTGTGCAGTCGTATTTTTTTATTTTATTTTTCTTTGTTTTTCTGCAATAATCAGATCTGAACTAATAATAATTCTTTGATTGCTATGATAAAATTTTATTCTTCCTAATCGTAAATTCAGAGTTTACGTATGAGATGTGATTTCATTTTGACCATAATAAAATCTGGAGTACAAAACACTACTCCTGTCTGAGCTTTGATTCTACACACTGACCCAACAGCCACAGGAAAAGATACCAGATTTATGTAAGGTAAAAAACTAAAGAACTTAGCAGCATGTGATTGAATGGAAAAAAATGGCTCAAAGCTGCCCTGTTATTCATCATTTCTTTTTAATGTTTTAGTTACTTTATTTCCTCTTAATAAGACCTCAGGTAAAGGAAGAAAAAGCCCTCAAATTCCAATGCAGATTATTTTAATGAGATAAATTTGAAGGACAGCATTTCAAAGAAAGTAACAATTCTGCAGGGATGTGAGAAAGATTTTTTAATCTCATAGGATGAGTTTTTTTCTGATGCAAATAACGTGATAGTCCTTTTTTCTGTCCATACAATTATGTGGTCAGCTGGTGAAGTGTGCTAATACTCTCAGGCCTCTGTTGTGTGCAACTGGCAGATAAATAAATTTATCTGCAAAGACCCTTGTGTAGTGACAGCAAGAGAACTCAACAGTCAAACTTAGAAGCCTAAAAGGTCAGCATGTAAATTCATACTCAGTCCCTCGGCCTTCTTACTTTGATATTTTAACCTGAAGAGTCAAAGGTCATTATAACAGCCTAGACTGGAAGGTGTGCACCTTGATAAAGAGGGGGAAAAAAGTCTTAACTGCTGATCAGCTGGAGACATGATAGGCATGATCAGATGCCTTTTGAATATCTGACTGTGAGAGCTGGAAGATGCCCTTCCATTTCTTGGTCTGCAGACCATCTTGGACAATTCAAAACAGATGTTCCCAGTTACAACAAAACTCATACAAAACAGATTTCTTCCTCCTGTGAAAGGGATATCTGCTTTTCCCTTTCTATCTTGCCTTACTGTTGCTGTAAGCTGTTTATGCAAGTACTGCTATAATTTCTGCTTTAGCTACCTAACAGGTTAATAGAAAAGGGTAAATAATTCCAGAGGATAATCCATAGTATAAGTGGAAGCATTTAAAAAATCACAGTGTTTCCTCGTGATTTGCAAAGCTATATTCGAGTCCTGAGATGTAGGATTCTTCTCTATGTATCAGAAGCAGGCTGCAAGTATGGGTTTTAGTTCTGGAATGTGGAGCATGGCAGCTACTACCTACTACTTCTTAAATTACTAAACTGAGAAAAATAAGATGAATGCTAAACCCATGACAAGGTAGATATGTTCCTGACCGGACAGACAGAATGATTTGAGCAATGCCTTGGGGAAGTTAATCAGGGCAAAACTACAGCAGGTATTTATATACTACCTGCCTAAATTTCCCCTGCTGTTTCAATTAAATTTTATTTTCAACTTCCTCCTGTTAAAACAATACTGTGAAGTATTGCTGTCCCAGAAAGAGCTGCTATTATCCCAAGGGAAACTGTATTTCACAGCAAGCCCAGCAATCTTTGTAGAGTCTCTCAGAAGTTCTTACTATGCTTCTGGGTACGTGTCTCTATAAAAATGCCAAGTACATAAAGTATATATATATAGTATGCAGTGCTGCCACTCTACTATTCATAAGAAGGAAAAAGAAAGTAGGTCAGTATGTGAAGGACACAGGACACTGGGAATGTTCCCAAATGCAGCTTCTGCTTAAACCAAGTGAAGCCACACTGAGTATTCCAACTGAGGTGCTCCTTTTTGTCTGTAAGGATGTGAGACAGCATCAACTAAGAGATGCAGAGCACCAAAACTTTGATTTTGATTCATGTACTGAATGGAAATATAGATAGATTTCCCAATGATCTTACTGACTCTAAGATATTAAAATTGTTCTAGACAAAATCTATGGTAATATGAACACGGACATCTCTTCTTAAGATATCTGTAGGCAGTATATACATCCATATACCATAATGCATATAAGGCTTCTGATGGATTGTTGGGTTTATTTGCTTTGTTTTGTTTCGGTTTTTTTTAAACTGGCTATAATAGTAATAATGACTTCAGTGCTGGGCATTTCCTGAGGACTAATGACCGTCTGGGATTAATGACCTGAAATGTAGCCACAGGCCATCAGCTCATCCCAGCCAGCCATTAATCCTGTGGAACTACCAGTGCCTTTACTGTTATTGCTTAATTTAGTCTCCCTAATTTTAGTGTAGCTCTAAAAACTCTGCTGCAGCCACTGAGCACCTCTGTATTTTATTACTGCTGCATTTCTACTGCTGAGCATGGGTTGTTTTCCTAGCTGCTGATCAACTCAAAACACTGAATAGACTTTATTAAAAGTTGGTTATCAAGCTGCTGAGCATCTCCAGACATCTAAATATTTTATGTGTGTTTACTTTGAGTGGCCCTGAGCAATTAATACATTGTTTCATTAGGAGGGTTTTTTACTAACAGCTAAGTGAACGCTTAATACATTTCACAAGAAGTTTGTATTCCAGCCATTGAGCAGCTTTAAACACTAAATTGGTGTCATACTTTAAAAAAAAAAATCACTCAGTGTATACATTTCTCACAAGTAATTTCCTGTCTCTATCCTTCTAAACATAATTCTCTTATTTTATGAGGGGTCTTTTTCAGCTGATACATTTCTATTTAGCTTGCTGGACCTCCAGTACTTTTCATTCAAAAGCTTGGAGCTTCACTTGACTTTTCTTCCTTTCCATCGTGTAATACAAAGAAAAGAAAAGAAGACCCGTGGGAGGCAACATGGACCCCAGATTCCTTTTGGCAGCAAATTAAAGGATTAGAAAATATTTGTGTTATTCTGACCAAGACAATAATTCAGACTTTAAACTTAAAAATAATCTGTGGTGTATCCCTGCATATACAACCACCAGCAGCATGACAATCAAAATGACAGTGATTTAGTAGGTGCTCTTAATCATAGTTACAGATCTCCAGCCGAGTGCTGTCAACACCAAAATTGGCCGACATCTGCTCCTCGGGCATTTCAGCAGACAGATCTTCACACTGCTCTATTGGGTTTGTGTGCCATGGGTTTGGTAGTGGGGGGGCTGCAGGGGTGGCTTCAGTGAGGAGCTGCTAGAAGCTTCACCCACGTCCAAAAGAACCAATGCCAGCTGGCTCCAAATGGACTTGCCACTGGCCAAGGCTGAGCCCATCAACAGTGGTGGTAGCATCTCTGGGATAACAGCGATAAGAAGGGAGGAGTTACTGCACAACAGTCAGAGAAGAGAATGATAATATGTGAGAGAAATAACTCTGCAGACACCAAGGTCAGTGGAGAAAAAAGGGGAGAAGGTGCTCCAGGTGCTGGAGCTGAGATTCCCCTGCAACCCCTGATGAAGACTGTGGTGAGCAGGTTCTCCCCCTGCAGCCCATGGAGATCCACGGTGGGGCAGAGATCCACCTGCGGCCCGTGAAGGAGCCCACACTGTAGCAGGTGGATGGCCAAAGGAGGCTGTGACTCTCTGAGAAACCTGCACTGGAGCAGACTCCTGTCAGGACCTGCAGAACCATGGAAAGAGGAGCCCAATCCTGTCAGCAAGTTTGCTGACAGGACTTGTGACCCCAGGGAGGATCCATAATGGAGCAGCCTGTTCCTGAACGATTGCACTTTGTGGGAAGGATTCACGTTGGAGAACTTGAAAGAGGACTGTCTCCTGTGGAAGGGACCCCACACTGGAGCAGGGAAAGGTGTGAGGAAACCTCCCCCTTCAGAGGAGGGAATGGCAGAGACAAAGTGTGGTGAACTGACTGTAACTCCCATTCCCATCCCCTGTACCCCTCCCCATTTTGCTGGGGGGGGAGGAGGTGGAGCAATCAGGAGTGAAGCTGAGCCTGGGAAGAAGACAAAGGTGGGAGAAGGTGTTTTTAAGATTTGGGTTTATTCCCCATTACTCTACTCTGAATTAAATGGTAATAAATTAAATTAATTTTACCCAAGTCACGTCTGTTTTCCCCATTACAGTAACTGCTGAGTGATCTCTCCCTGTCCTTATCTTGACCCACGAGCCTTTTGTTGTGTTTTCTCTCCCGTTTCCAGGTGAGGAAAGGAGTGATAGAGAAGCATTGGTAGGCATCTTTTCAGGAAAAAATTACCAAGGAAATTAAAAAAAAAAAATATTAAGGGGCAGATAATCCTATTAAAAGGAGATTTCCATCTTTCTAAAATAATTTGAAAAACTTGTCCTAAGACATTGTAGGCATGGATTCAGAAGACTGGAGCATTGATATAACAAAATAAACACCTCTTTTGCAATTATTACCTCATAAGTAATATTTTTACAACTCTGCCTGATTGCACACTCCATCTTCTAACATATCATGGAAACTCTCTAACCATATCAGTTGGATTAACTGAATTCAAAATAAAGGTTATACTAGTACCTTAGAAATTATTGGTCCAAGTTGATGGCCATTGGGTAGAAGTGTATCCAATACAAATTTAGACACACTTTGCCAGGATGGACCAGGTGCGTTTTGATTTGTTAAAGTCTCCGCAGGCATT